CTGGGAATGCGCTCAGAATCTGGGTAGGTACCTCCAAACCCATCCAGACCTAATTGGAGTCACCACTCTCGACCCTGAAGGTCCGCTAGGGCTAGACGTGTTCAGCGATTCGGATTGGGGGGATGCGCGGAAATGCGCAGAAGCACAGACAGCCATGTGGTTGGGCTAGGCGGAGCTGTGATCACCACTACGACACAGACACAGCCCGGACTACCAGCAACCTCTAGTCCCGACGCCGAACTTCGAGGGATTAGCAGGGCATGCCGCGTGGCCCTGTTCGTTTACGAACTGGCCACCCGAGATTTTGGACTCGATGTCCAAGTGCCACGCCTATGGAGCGATAGCTCCACCGGCATCACGGCTGCCAAAAGAATAGGCTCAGGTAGCAAACTGAGGCGCCTGGAAGTCTGTGAGTTTTACGTGCAAAGCGCGGTCCAGGCCGGAAAGGTACTGCTGAGGAAGGTAAAGGGTGCCGAAAATCCTGGCAACTTCCTCACACAACGCGCCAAAACTGGCAAGGAGGTGCAGGAGGCCCTGCCATCTCTTGGCGTGGTAGACCTCAAAAAGGTTGCGGGCGCCGCCGCTTTGCAAAAGCACTCCGTGAAAACAGTGCGGAGAAACCCGCCTACAAAGTGGAAGCCCTTGCTGTTGCTTCCCTTCACGCCCCAAGCTGTGCCTGATTGGGGTAACGACTGCTCAGCAAATCCTAGGCATAAAAGTGCAGGACCCACAGGATTATGAAGGAGCTTTGGAACAGGGCCTCAATGAGATCATCCTTCTTGGACTCCTGACTGGGCTGTTCCTCATTTTAGGAACATTGTGGTGCCTAGCAAGGTGCTGCTACCTCAAGAAGTTGAGCAGGGTGATGAAATCCTTGTGGCTGAAAATCAGCCAGATGAAGATCCCAGTGAGGACGAGGAGGAACAGGAACAACCTGCAGAAGCCCCAGCACCAAAAGTGCGGGCACCTCCGCTACAGGCCACTGCCCCCAGAGCCAGAGCCTGTTGACCAGGAACCTGTCCCTCAGCAACCTGACCAGCAGCAGCAGCAGCCGCACCACCTGTGCCACCCAAGTAGAAGAAATGGGGGTGCAAGGCAGATCCCATGGAGGGATCAGGGCTGCATGTACTAGGCGCCAAGAAGGCGCGCAACCCGTGCTTCAGGAACTGCTCAGGACTTGCTTCGGTTCCTGATGCAGAAAACTGACAAGATCTGCCGGTACTGCAGTGATAACTGGCCGGCAGGAATCCCCATGACCAGGGAACCCGGACATGTTTGGGCACAATACGATGCCTACAGGACTCCACATATGGTGGATCACGGCTACGATGCCACTGTTGAACTGCCTGTCTGAAGACACTGCAGAGATGGGCACATCATGAGGGACCCTTGAGGGCTCCATTTTGGCGGCTAATTCGGAACGTGTGCGGAGCACCGCATTTTGCCGGCTACACCGCTCAAGACCCCCAGTCCTGCGGCGGCATCCTTGCCCTCAAGACTTTGAGGGGGGTGCGAATCCTACACGCCCGTGTGTAGGGTAGGCAAAGATCTTAAGGGCTTGAGCTAGGCTACTCCCTTAATAGGGTACACTCCGCAGCCCTTTTGTGCTTCAGAGAAAAAGGCTCCTGCAGTAGCCCTGAGGCCAGCTGTCGCACCTCATTTTATGGACCTCATGGTGTAGGCCACCCATTTTACAGTAGCCTGTGAGGCCCGGCACCACTCATTTTACAGACTTCCAGGGGGCGGGTACCCCAGCATAGCATGTGGGGAGCATCCGATCTCGGCACCACCCAATTTTACAGGTCTGAACTCTCTAAAGGGAGTTATATGGGGGATTTTATAGGGGAGTAGTACAGGGGTTAGCGAACACTAGGAGTTTAGATTATAACTCACATAGGGATTGCATAGGAAGCTATAACACGGCCACAGGATAGCGCAGCTCCACCTTGACTGCGGCTGGCGAAGCCTGCACAACGGCCATCACGCAACTCAAACACAACCGCCCCAAGCCCTCTCTCTCTTAAAGCCTAAGCCCTTAAACCCCAAACCCCTACACCCCAAACCCCTCAAGCTTTCAATCCTAAACATCCCTAAGCCCTCTTCTTCTTCTTCTACCGGCTCTGCCCTAGACTCTTCACGGGTAAGGGCTTTGCCGCTCCCCTGAGCAGGGCCGGTACGCCGGGGCCCGGTTTTTCTACAAACCAATCTGTCCGTTTTCTGAGAAAAACGTAGAGTTCAGGCATGCGGCCGAATGGTACGTTTTACTCAGAAGACATACAATTTGCCCTGTAGCAAAACCAGCCCCGGGGTACCGGCCCTGCTCAGAGGAGTGGCAATGCCCTTGTCCGTGCAGGGTTTAGGGCATTAGGGCATAGCCAGCAGAAGAAGAAGAAGGCTTAGGGATGATTAGGATTTAGGGGTTTAGGGTTCCTGTTGGGGTCATGCAGGATGTTTAGTATCAACGGTATGTAGGTGCATGTGTTTGCAGTGCAATGCCCACGCAGCTGTGGTTCCCCCAAAGTCCTTCAAACCCTGGCCACCCCCATTTTACAGAGCCTTTTGTCTGTAAAATGAGGGTGCCCGGGGATCACCATGAAGACCAAGTAGGGACTCACAGCCCAAAGGTCCTCTAAAAAATGCCCTTGGGACCCTCATTTTACATAGATTTCTAAATCCTGGTCACCCCCATTTTACAGGACCCTTTTGCCAGGGCTCGCCGTTTTACCCAGAAAAATGGGGGTCCCAGGGGCCCCCATGAATACAAAGGGGGACTGTTGTTTTGGTTTTTTTGCCAGGAGCCATCTATGCAAGTAAGTGACACGTGCTTAGGGCATGCCCGGATAGTTGCATTTGAATGCATTTTTTAGGTACAGTAACAGCCCCAAAATCCATGAGGGCCCAGCTTGGCGACATCAGACAACACGCATTGTTAGTAGAAGCAGCCTTCAGGATAAATTGCCATCCGTTTGATTATGTTTGATTCGGAGTCTCATATTCCGCATCGACAAGTCACAACTTGGTTCTTTTCAAGAACAATGCAATACTTTTGTTCGCAAGTTACCACACTGCAACATATTGCAATGCCCATGGAAGCTCATGAGCACACGGTTCTGATGGCTTCTGAAGCGAACCCTGCGTAGTTCAAAAAACCAGGTACACAAGTATTTAACATTTCACCCACGATATTTCAAAGTTTTTCAATTTCTCATCCAAGAACAAAAGGGTCATTCTATGCGTGCTTTCTGCTAGCACTTGTGTCTGGGAGGTGGCCTTTTCCTCCTCTTCTTTTGTCCCGTTTCTGCAAATTTTGTTGCGATGGTCAAGATTGGGTTTTGGAACGGGAAAGTTATGGATGATTTAGGGTACAGTCTTGTTTCCTGCGGACGTTCCTTGAGCCAGAGGTGAATCAATTGCATGCAGAAAATGGGCGAGTAAAAACTTCCTTGATACAGTGGACATGCTCGAAGTACACACTGGTTTGCTTGAGCCTGGTGGAACAGTTGCCGTTCAAACATTTCTGCCGTCGTTCAATGTGCAATGATCCAGATTTCTTCGTTTTCGGATTTGCAATGGAACCTTACATTACGTACAAAGAGCTCCGAATTTGCATCGTGGTTGCAGGCTCGAGTTTATTGTTTCATATTGTTGTGTTGACAGCAACAAGTGGCAGAACTGCAACAACATTGAGGCTCAAACTCTTGCAAGTAAAGTGTACTGCTTGACGAGTCAGACATAGTGTGTGCCTTGGTTGGTACAATTGGGGCACTTGGCTGTGCCTGTATAAGGTAAGTCGCATATGGGGAGGGTAGATGAATGAAAGCTGTGATTCGGACCTTTTTCAGTAGAACTCATCAAAACCAACGACCCGCACATCCATGACGTAAAATGGTGAGATTCATTTTCAGCCACACACCTGCGTGACGCATGTTGGTGATGGTTCGAGACAACCCAATTTTGTAGCCGCATGTCGAAAGATGTATCCATCAAGGTTCCCTTGCAGTGTCCAACTATGTAAACCTTGCATTGCGTGGCTTGTTACATTGTTGCAATCGCCTTTACAGGTCGTGAAACCTCCCGAGGAGGCGCAGATTTTGTGATGTTTTCGCACAACCACATAAGGCAATTTTCATTTGCGAGCATTATCTTTTTGACAAGCAGCCGCTGAACACCTTTGGTTGTGGATTCGCTGGCCATTTTGACACGTTTTGTTTCACGGAGCTTTTGACATGTCGGAGTTTTAGAACAAACCGCAATTCCATGGCTTCCCTCAGGTAATCAAGCTTGATGATCATGGCGAGGCATGGATCTGCGTCGATTGTGTTTTGTTAACAGTAGGACAGGGTATCGTGAATGATGTGCTGGTGTTTCATTGGCGAAGCTGTGTTCTCAGAAAAAAAGGGCAGTGTCAGAATGTGCCTTGGTTTCTAGGAACGAGTTGCGTGTTTCGGTGATGCCGAAGTTGGCTTCCAATCAATGCATGTCAGTGTGCCGGCAATTTTTGTCTGGTGTGTCAGACTGAAGTTGAGCTTTAGTTGGGTGCAGGTATGGCGGTGGAATTGATAAACAACTGGACATCTAAACAAAAAGCCGAGCAAAACAAAGCGCAAACCAACAAGGAAGATACGTGCACAACTTGAAGTGCTTGTCTTAGTTTTTGCTTTCTTTCTCCCCATGATCCCCCCGTGTCCTTAGAGTTAAAGTTTTTAACGCATGGTAGTTTCCCAATATAGGGTGATTCCGATATGGTCCCCAATGTGGTATATTCCTTATTATTCGGACCCCCAAAGTGATACCCCTAATTGTGGGAAACGCCCTTAACCCCAAACCCTAAACATCAAATAGCCCCTATATAACTGCTATATAACCCCTTTAAAAGTACCCCCAATTTTTGGGAAACCACCGCGTTGAGTGGCACCCAAAGAGAAAATCTGTTTCCTTGCTACTGGCTCTTTCGGCAGCAAGTGGTGTACGCATACTGCCCATCCATTATCATCATTGTTAGTAATAGTAATAATATCAATATAGCAATAGTATAATGTACTAATGATAGCAATATGATAGTACCACTGATATATTAGGTTACTCTCATTGCTGGTATTACTATGGTGAGTATTCTTGTCACTCTAGGGTCAAATTTGTTGGTTGGGGACCAGAACTGATGGTATTGCTATAATCATCTTCGTTTTCAAAACCTAACCCCAAACCCTGAACCCTATTTGGTGTTGCAGGTGCCAATACACTCCCGAAGGGAGGGCCTCGACAGGCTTCGATGTGCAGTTGAATTGCTGTTTAGGGATCATGGAAAAGAAAATGGAAAGTACTATTTAGGGTTTAGGGTTTAGGGTTAGGGTTTAGGGATTAGGGTCGCCTAGCTCAGAGCACGCTCGAGTTGCGTCCAAAGAATTTCCATTTGAGTCTTCATCATTGGGGGATAATAATATGAACCCAGAGACGGGCTTCTAGGGATCCCGAAAAGGTATAAAGAAATTTATCAAAAGATCAGACCTTAAGCCCTAAACCCATCGGGTTCCTCATCTGGGGTTATTCAGGGAATTTGGAGAAACCCCTATGCTGCAGATTGGGAGTCTATTTTTGTGGTTGTACTCACTGTGATCCACAGTCCAGCTCAGAACGTGAGTTGGTGAGCCTTGTGCAACAAGATAATACAGCTATTAGGCTTATACTAGGCCTATATTGGAGTTATATTGGGGCTATATTGGGGTTATATTGGGTTTATATTGGGGTTATATAAGGGCTATCTTAGGCTTATGTTTAATATAGTATAATTGAAAGAACACCAGTGATTCTGGTGGAGTACACTAGTGCAATCGAAGTTATAATAGTGCATTGCCCAGAATACAACATACAACAAGATATCGTAGAAGAACGTAGACTATAATCGAGTAGAGTAGGATATATGAGAATATAGTAGAAGATAGTAGAAGGTGATAGAATATAGTAGAAGATAGTAAATACAGTAGAACGTAGTATGCGGTTGGGTCCTGCTCTGCTGGCAGGAACAAGGCCGGTGGAGACGACGCGCGAGGAAGAGGAAAGGGAAGAGGAAGAGGAGGAAGGGGCAAAGGAAGGGGAAAGGGCAAGAACTTCAAGGTGGGGGGAGGGTTTAGGGTTTAGGGATTGAATTCCAGGCTTTAGGATTTAGGCTTTAGGGTCACCATTGTTATCACTTATTATTAATTACTGGTTACTAATTACTAATTTCCATATCCTAACTACTAGTTACGAGTTGCTAACTACTCTTTATTAACGTATAAATACTAACTACCAACTACTAGCTACCACGTACTCACTACTAAATACTAAATGCTACATACTAAATACTGCATGCTAAATACTACATACTAAATACTACATACTAGATACTACATGCTAGATACTAGATACTAGATACTAAATGCTAAGGAACCTGTCCCAAAGCCGGACAAGGGCCTTGCAAAGCGGATGAGCAAGTCGCAGCCTCAGGCAATTCAATGGTGATATACATGGCTGGTAGTCAAAATTGTGGTCCCTTTTTGGGTCCCTATTATAATATGGCCCCGAATATTTAGAGTACCCAAAAAGGGACCATAATTTTGACAACCACCCACATGGGTACTGCCACAATAGGAAGTGTTTAGGGTTTAGTGGAGTATATAGTATAGGATTATGTAGGGTTTAGTGGAGTATATAGTATAGGATTATGTAGGGTTTTAGGATATTACCCAATAATGGAGAATCAGATGGAAAAGAACGTCGCAAATGAAATGCACGCTGGGGTTATAATGGCATGCCAGTGACTGTGGCGATTTTCAGGTATGCTCGAGAAGACATTGCCTTGAAGGATGTGGTGTCGAAGCATGACAAGAAACTTTCTAGTCAGGATCGGGCTTTTGTTTATCCGAGTTAGGAGAGAATTCTGTCACGAATTGCTCCACATTGCATGATTTGCTGATGCAGCTGCGATGGACAGATGAAGCAAAGATTTCGCTCTGATCGAGACAATGCCTTTCGGCTGGCAAAAGCAGAGGCTGGGGTCTACTTCCAGGAGATGTCACACATTTAGCCCATGAGGGTTGTGGAATGCCTCTGCTGCTTGCAAAAGTCGTTGTGATTCTGAAGGTGTTGCAAACTGCAGAAGCTGGCTTCATAGAGACAGAAGAAGGTGATGACTCGCAGACCCAGAGGTCCTTGTTTCAGACTTTTGCACTTTGTTTCCTGGGGTGCTGGTCAGTAGCAAGCCCAGCAGAGCGCAGTCTGGACTGCCAGGCTGACACAGCAGGACATCATTCAATCTGCCAAGACCTTGGATTTGAAACGCCATTCCTCATATGAGCTATAGTCTCAACTCCTGAAAGGGGGGTTATATGGGGCATTATATAGGGGAGCATTATAGGGCCTATTAAGCTATAAAGGGCGATACTGGAAGTTTAGATTATAGCTCATTTGAGTTGCAATGAAAGACGTTGTGCTCATGGGTCTGAGTCAGAGGCTGGTGTCGGCGTGGCCCGCAAGCATTTCTTCTTCGACTTGCCTTATGGGCCTTACTGCTGCGGACCGGGCCTGTTTGGATAGCTTCCCAAAATGAGGGATATAGGGGTTACAGAGGGAATATAGGGAATAAAGGGATAATGGAACAGAAAATGGAAACTATTTAATTGTATTCGCCAGAATGCCACGACCAATTTTTATCCTGGCGCAGGTTCTGGTTTAAAGCCTCCTGAACAAAATCAACATGTGTATGATCCATTCCGTCGGTTCCACCTATCCCTGACAACCCTTCTATACAAGTAGCACAACATATCCCAAGACACAGTCTAGTAGTTAGGGCTTGCACGAGCCTAATTCCGAAACTTCGAATGTTAGATCCTAAACTCTAAACTGAGGGCAGCAAAAGCCCAAGACCTAAACCCTAAACCCTAAACCTTACCTTCGTAGGAAGTTGTGTGACTCCAGGCTCTGTGGGGCGAAACGGGCAGAACATGCTGGCTGGTGGCCAAAAGGGCCATATTGTCGGGGACCTGAGAGTGGTGTGGTATGCTTTTTCACAACATGTGTTCTTCGGGACTCAGGAACCCGTCGCAGAAGATTTTGGTCTTTTTGGGGATTACAAAGGCATGACAGAGGTACTTACTATGGCTATTGACAGGAGGACTCGTTAATGAAAGGGTTCAATCAGGTTGTGCAGAGGTGTAGCAGGGGCCGTGACTGTCGTAGTTCGGTGGCTCTTCGAGGGTGCTTTCTTTTGGAGGAGGATGCTGCAACAAAGAAACGGCAGGTAAGCATAGGAGCATTGATGTTGCTCCTGGAATAGTGTTCCAAGAAGGCTATTCAGGTAGCAGCGCGTTTCGCGCTTGGGACACGGTTCAACGATTTCTCAAAAGTATCTAGCTTCGTGCTTGCCTCAGGATGAGCTCCTTGTGAAAAAGGCATTCTGAGAAGCATCATATCATTCCTGAGACAGTTTCCGCACCCCAAACCCCCCAATCCGAAACCCTAAACGTTTCTATCAGAATCCGCATGGCGTCCCTGTATCATATGAACTGTAGTCTAAACTCCTTAAAGGGGGTTATACCGTGGATTATATAGGGGTCTACTACGGGGGATATTAGGAGATTAGACTATAGCTCATATGTATACCTCACAATAACACGAGAATGGCTCTTCAAGAGCCTCACCTGTTTGCCTTCTCTTGCAGCCTGTTTGTAGGGAATGGAGGAGCAAATATATCCTTGAAGTAGCTCCGAGAAATTCATTTCTGGTAATGGAATGGTTTCCATTCCCTAGGCCGTAATCACGGTTTAGGGTTCAGGGTTTAAGGTAGGTTCCATTTTCGTTTGCATTCCTCCAGTGGCTTTTCGCAATCAGCGAGTCAGTCCGAAACCGTGGATATCGCGTTCCCATTTGATTTTCCATCATTTAAGGGGCCTAAGGTCACCAAACCCTCAACCCTAGACAGTACTGTGAGTTTCCATTCTTCCTTGGAAGGCCTTCATGCACCTCGTCGGAGTCTCAGGTTATGCTGATGCTGATCATGATTTGAAAGGAGCCTTCTCAATGCCACCATGGTATAGTCCTCCATAAGGAACCCATGTCCATTAGATTATGACTGTAGCTCATACAGGGGGTATATAGAGATTATAACATAGAGAGGGTGGAGGAAGTCTTGCACGTCCTAGTAGCCCCACAGGAGCCCCCGAAAGGGCGGTTAGACACGGGATTATGTAGGGGATTACTGTAGGGGATATTGAAGGGGATACTAGAAATTCAGATTCTGGCCCATATAATCAAGATTAAAGTCTACAGCATGAGATATACAGGCTGGTGCAAGATTTCCTCCATCCACCCTTATGTTCGGTTTGATGGTTATTCTACAACGATCTAGGTTACTAGGTTTCTGCTTTAGTTAACATTGCTGACACGAACGGTTGACACACTTGATGGTACGCTAAACCCTAAACCCTAAACCCAAAACCCTAAACTCTAAACCCAAAACCCTAAATCCCGAAGCAGTTAACCTCTTTTCTCTGCTGAGTGCCATCTGGCTCAAAACAGATCTTCCACAGACACCATCAACCTGGGTCTCTGTTCAGGAATTTGAATTAAGTTACTATATTGGGTTTAGGGTTTAGGGTTAACAAAGCCGTATTATTTACTATATACCCACATTCTGGTACCCTAAACTCTAAGCCCCAAACCCTAAACCCTAAGCTCTGTATACCTATTCTATAGCAGCTTAATCTAAGTTACTCAGCAGAAGTGACAGTATGGTTGAACTAGAATTTGGCTTATGCACTCGCAGCTTATCATGATAGTGCTGTAAAAATACTCGTATCGTAACAGTACGATCATCGTAGAATAAGGAGAGTATAGTAATGAGAGTATCAATACTTTGGACTAGCAGCAGTTGTCTTAGCGCAGCCTCGGCTGCAGTCCCGTGCTTGCCTTAGCCTTTCGATGCACGATGCTTGAACTTGACTTCCTTTGCTCCTCGAATGTTCTCTGCCACTGCGATGATCAGGTCGCGGCAATGTCTACGGGAAATCCGTTTGGACTTTCTGAAATTTCCCACTATGGCAGCTGGTTTGTGTCATTGGCCACGCTGTGACTTTGATAATGCCATCTCCGCAGAGTCCAAAGCCGACAAAGCCGAGGCACGATGCGAAATGTTGGTGGAAAGGCTGGGATATTAGCATGATTTGAGGGTTTTATTGGGATAATGGAAAAGAAAATGGAAACTACTATAGTAAATTGGTGTTATATTCGGATAATGGAAAAGAAAATGGAAACTACTATTTAGGGTTTAATGTTGGTGGAAAGGCTGGTGGCTTCATCAACAAGAAGTTCTTTCATCCATCATCCATCCGCAATCAGGCCGGTGTCTGTGTTGACTGAACCCTAAACCCTAAACCCTAAACCCTGAACCCTAAACCCTAAACCCTAAACCCCTAAAGCCATCTTGGAGGAAAGGCTTTGGAAAGCAATCACTGCGGATGCTGTCGAAAAGCGCAAGCAGGATGACTTAGAGAAGGCTTGCTGCAGTGATGGGATAAGTCTTCCAGATAGGGATCATGGAAAAGAAAATGGACACTACTATAGTATATTAGGGTTATATTAGGGTTATGTTGGGATAATGGAAAAGAAAATGGAATCTACTGTAATAGTTTATTTAGGGTTTAGGGTTTAGGGTTTAGATAGGGATAAAGGGAAAAGAAAATGGAAACTACTATAGTATATTAGGGTTATATTAGGGTTACGTTGGGATACTACTATTTGCTTAAGGATCACCGAAAAATAAAGAGATTCTTCCTTATAGGGGTAATATAGGGATAATTATTTTTCTTTAAATGTTTTAGAGCAAATACTAGGATAAGAAGCAGGCATGAACAAAATCCACAGTGGAATCTACAGGAGATGACCTTGGCTCTTCTAAAGCAGGAAGGGGATGGGGAGCTCAGGGATAATCTGCGGTGGATGCTCCTGTGTCCAGTTTCGTGGCTGCATGGATAAGCTGCAAGAAGCCCTGGCGGTTCCTAAGGCAAGGGACGAAGAGCGCAAAGTGGAAGCACTGAGAAAGGAGTGCCTCCATGATGCAGGGTTGGGTTTCCTGCAATTCTGCCCTGCAGGCTTTGACCATGTCATTAGAGGTGGTTATCCATAATACAGTCAGTGAGCATGTGGCAGGTTTACATATACATATATATAGGAAATACAACAAATATCATAGATTTGGCTTTCAGGGTTCGGGTTCCTTCTAACAGAAGGCCCCTGATGTATACATATATATATATACACATATGTTCGTAAATTTGTATATAAACTTCTTTACCTGTACCACGTTCATGGTACTCATCTTGACAACCCCCGTGGTGAGAGGAGATGTATCTGGCTGGACAATGCCAGAAAGAGATGCCTCTTGTTTGCAATCCTTGTTATAGTAAAGGGTCCTTTGTGTAGGGTTTAGGATCATAGGAAACAAGGGAATATACGACACAGACAGGGGTTCTATAGGTAATGTATTACCTACTAATACTTCAGTCAGAATCTGAGACCTGATGATGTAGGAGTTGCTCTAGATAACCACCGGTGGTTTCAATATACCTTTTCTGCGAGAACTCTCCAGGTAGTTTCCTTTCTGATTCCAGAACACCCCTGCAAACCCTGAACACAAAGCTTTACCCCTAGATTCTAAACCCTAAACCCTAAACCCTAAATGCCGTGTTCTAGGGCCGTGTTCTAGTAACATTCCCGAGGGATTAACCTGAGGAGAAAACCTGAGGAGAAAAGGTCCCACAAAAAAAAAACCTAAATGCCAGGTTTGTTGCAGCTACATCGGACCCCGGGGAAAGGGTGCGACTCCCGGCTGCTGGCTGTCAAGATGCTGTCAAACAGCCACATAAATCCAAAACCCTAAACCCTAAACCCTAAACCCTAAAACCTAAACCCTAAAACCTAAACCCTGAATCCTAAACCCTAAACCCGAATCCTAAACCCTAATCCTAAACCCTAAACAATGAACGAGAGATATGGTTTGCCCAGGGGACGCCGGAGCAGATCAAAGCCTTTCGAGAGCTGAAGCGGCGGAAAGAGCTCCTCAAGGCCGGATTTTGTGTTTAGGGTTTAGGAT